ATTATGGGTAATTTGGTATTCAAGTACAAAATATCTCCTGGGTATTTGGCATCCATGACCAACTTTACAAGTGTGGCTAGTGAAGTTGTCCTTTGCCCATTTGACATCCCTTTTTGTCAACCAAATATCCATTATCATAGGGGGCCTGTTTTAGACCCTATGCTGGTCAGTAAGGTCTGAAATATTAGAAAGTGGCCATGATGTAAATTGTTGTGTTGCACCTCCTAATTGCATAATCTAAAAATCTAAAATAAGGCCGTGAGTAATTTGTCATCATGCAATCTTGCATTGCGTTTTAGCCTACCATCTTATTTGTTGTACAAATCAATAACTATCCTTTATTAAACTTCTTTTTGTCACACGATGGATATTTTATATAGTATCTGAGATGACATTTTATTGAGATGAGATGACATAGGGGGCCTGTTTTAGACCCTATGCTGGTCAGTAAGGTCTGAAATATTAGAAAGTGGCCATGATGTAAAATTGTTGTGTTGCACCTCCTAATTGCATAATCTAAAAATCTAAAATAAGGCCGTGAGTAATTTGTCATCATGCAATCTTGCATTGCGTTTTAGCCTACCATCTAATTTGTTGTACAAATCAATAACTATCCTTTATTAAACTTATTTTTGTCACACGATGGATATTTTATATAGTATCTGAGATGACATTTTATTTGTTTTCTGTTGAAAATGGCACTAGAGCCATTGGGAAAGATTCCAGGTATATTACACACATTTATAACAACTACAGGTGCTATTTGCACCTTTTGGCTGTCATTTTTCCACATCCGTTTGTGCTCAGACAAATTTTAAGTTGTAAACAAATCAGTAAATCAAAAGTGCTGCACCTGAAAACATGCTGAGGCCTGGGGATAGAAAAACACCAAAACAACATGGTGTTAATGGAGGGAGCTGGAAACAGCCTCCAGTGGGTGATAAAATGGCAGTGTAGAGAAGCACAGTAATTTGTCTGTGTCATGCTTGTGAATTGCATTGAAATTTTATTGGAAATTCTGCTTAGTGGGAAAACATTAAATACTTATTTATTAAACATTGTTGTCATTTAAAACGGGGGGGGGGGGGGCACCTACTCATTCCCAGCTGATCAGATCTTGCATTTGGCCTTAAAAATAACCTGGAACATTTTGCCCTTTTTAACAAAAAAGAAGTTTAGTGTCTGCTTTGCTTGTGCTATATAGTTCAAGGAAATATAATAATAATATATTTAAAAATAGATAACTTGGTCAAACGTAATGGCTCTAGATTATTTGAATTTTTGGGAAGAAACCAGAGATGCTAATATCCCTAACACCTGCCTTGTGCACACATTTATCAAATCAGTCGATTAATTCATGGGTTTTTAATCAATTCATTTAGATCATGGGGTGTTGAAAAAAAAAGGGGACATTCATCTCTGTAGGGGACAGGCAGACAAGATAATAAGGAGATCACCAGCAGAGAGCCTGGTTATAATGGGAATTTCATCTGCAATGGTAAATGTGCTGAATTTCTATTCTTGCTACATAATTAAACAAGGCCAGTGTTACAATATTCAGTTTATTGGGGAGGTAATGGGTACCAGTCGTGTCTGGATTTTGAGGCTGTGCCTTTCATACAGGAGCAAGATGAACAAAGCAGCTCAGTCTCCTCTAAACTGTGTAATGCCAGACGGAATAAAAAATTTTATTTCGATAATTTACAATATTATTTTTTATGATAGATCATGAAACCGATATGTGTGTAAAGATGTGTTTTTTTCTGCACCCTTGTTGGATTCTCACAAGTAATTGAATCTCTTCTATTATGTTAGTGGCACCCTAGGAACCATTCTATGAGAAGTAAATACAAACCAACCACTACAAACACTGATTTATATGCTATTGGATCACATTAGGAATTTGCTGTTACTACCCAGTCTTCTGCTCTATTGCATGTAAACACATTAGACAAAGCCTTTTTGTTTCATGGATTTCCCAAAGCAATTTGTATGAATAACTAGGAATTCGCATAGAACATGTAATTTCATACTTCTAAAAGGTCTAAGCAGTCCATGACTTGCCTCACCACTTAAAGAATTGATGGTCATTAACATTACTTTGTGTGCATTATATTGTTTTCATCACTCCCAAACAGTGCTGTACAAATTAAACTGGGAAACTGAGCAAGTTTTTGCAAGGGAAACAAGGAAAGAAAGCAGTGATTTCCATTGCTAAACTTTGTTTAATCTGTTATGTTCCTGCACTTGAAATGGTTTCTATAAGCTATGCAGGAAGAAAAATACATGCTGTCCTCAAGTTTAATATTAGTACAACTTGACTGAAAGGAACATCTGGTCCTTTAGGGCCCTTTCACATGAGCTTGGTCTTCTAAGGTGTGGTAAATGTGTGTTGCGTTAGGACAGCCCTTCATTTAAACGAGGTTCCTATCACACCACAACCTACCAAAAACCATACCAAAGTGTGTGCAGCACTTTGGCAGCACAATGCATTCCTACAAGGTGCATTGTGAAGCCATTTACAGTCCATGTTACCCCATTATGTCAACATATGTAATGTGTTTTACCACCACAATACAGTCATGTATGAATAGGCCCTAAACTGCCTAACTGCAGTCTTTTTTTTTTTTTTTTTTTTTTTAAATAGTGGTGAAAAATAATTTATTTTTTGTTTGTGTCCCTATTGGTTGATTAGGATATACCCTACTTGCTGCCCCTATGACACCTGTACAAGAATTTGAGGGGTGGTGGAATGCAGATCTCAATAAAAACATTGTTGTGTGTGCCCTGTTTTGTACAGTACACCTTTATTAAATATAAAAACCATAACTGTATGAACACACAGTGTCAACAGGATGGGGTTCTTTGTCCACAGCCACTGTGCCTTAAAAAGTGCAACTGCTGCTAGAGCCAGTGGTACCACGAGAAGGTGGTTTATTCGTTTCTCCTCCACCACCATTATGCTGGCAGACTGGACTATAAAAATGGCACACATCCATGCCTACATACACTGAACCCTGGGGCTGTTTATAGACAGCCAACAGATCCCAGCCAGTGCATGTATCCACCCACCTCCTTCAAGGTGTATGATGGCTGTCAGGGTAATGCATTTTCAGAGGGCAGGTCCCCCTGTTACAAGTGTGGTTTTTCTATCCCTTCCCCAAGCTACTAAAATGTGTTTTTGTGTGTGTTCCTGTTAGGGAAGGTTTCCCATTGGTTCCTCTTTTGATAGAAAGATAGGGCAAATCTCCCCAACTGGAACAGAGACAGCAATGAAAACCTGGCAGACCCTCTAACCCTTTCCTACTCAAAATGTTTTTTTCTCTGGATTTGGGCTTTTAACGTTATTTTAATTTACCTTTTATAGATCTATGGGCTTCCAAAAGTCATGAAGCACTCCATAACTCTAATATAACAGGCTTCCTGTTTGGATTTGTAAGCAAGTCATTATTATTAAAGCTGAATTTCCCCCCCCCCCCACTGGAAGACTTCAGTGTGCAGCCCCCCCCAACACTTACCTGAGTCCACTTTCGATCCAGCGATTTGCACAAGAGCAGCCACTCTCCCATCTCATTGGCTGATACACAGCAGCAGGAGCCATTGGCTCCTCCCACTGCTGTCAGTCACAGCAAGTGAGGAGGGGACGGGGGCCGAGCCACACTCAGTGCCATAGAGGTGGCTCGGGAGTGAGCACGCATGATTGCCCCCAGAACAAGCAGCTTGCTCTGGGTGCATTAAGCATGGGGGAGGAGCCAGGAGCATTGGCGCAGGACCTGGAAAGAGGAGGATCAGGGCTGCTCTGTGCAAAACCACTGCACAAAGCAGATAAGAATGACATTTTTGTGTTTTTGCTTTTGTTTTTGTTTTGTTTTGTTTTTTTATTGTAACCTACACCTTTAGTATCACTTTAAAGGATAAGTTCACCTTTAAAAAAAATAAATGCTAGTGGTGCACCAAACAAAAATTCTGGTGCCAAACCCGATACCAAAAATTCAGAATGCATATGGCCAAAAACCGAACCGAAACCAAAATGTCTGCGTATGTGGGGATGGGGAGGCTCCAATTTTTTTTGTATTTTTTTCTACTTTCATGTATATTTTAATTTATTTTTTTTTAACTCATGATTTTATTTCTACCACATAGGGGACCAATAGTCCCCTATGTGATCGCATATGAGTGACAGGTCCTCTTTGTAGGGGGTAGGGGGGGGCAGTGTGTGCAAGGAGGGAGCAGGAGAGGAGCAGTAAATACAGTGAGGGAGCAGTGTATACAGAGAGACTTCCTCACAGACTGTCACTATGTCTGTGCCAGTTTTTAAATGCAATTTCCGGCTTTTTTTTTTTTTTTTTTTTCTTCACTATAGCTCAGATAATGAGCTGTCACTTTCCCTGGAGCTAAAGGAAACTGCTTCTTTTGGCTTGGGGGGGAGGAGGGAAATAAGAAACTTCTTTTTTTTTTTTTTTTTTTATTTCCTTCACTATAGGTCAGAAAATGAGCTTTTTCTTTCCCTGAGCTAAAAGAAACAGCTGGTAATTACATTTAAAAAAACCCGCACAGACATACAGTCACTGTATACACTGCTCCTCTTCTGCCTTTCTCTGCCCCCCTCCCCCCTTACATCTGCAGTTCACAGATTAATTTTTTGCTATCGGCATTGCTATTTTCGGCGGATATGTTTCGGTGGCCGAAATTTTGGTGCATCCCTAATAAATGCATATCTTTTGTTGCAGGTAAAAAGCTTTGCATTTTTTTTTTGCTAGGAGCCTGCAAAACATTGCATCTGCAAGAGGCTCCTGCAGACTGTCAGTGTAAGCTGTTTGCTCGTACTTTGTATGGTCAGGCATTTACACAATGACAGGAACCATCCGTGAACTACCCAGAGCGTGCTCACCACGCAAGGCGGTTCTCTTGTTCTGGGAGGACGTCATATGACGTCCTCCCATTCTAACCGCTCATACGCGGCTCCAGGCGCGCGCAACGTGGTGATTGGCGGTGCACTGTGTTCCTTGGACACAGCGGATCACCGATCAACGGAAAGAGCCGAAGATGTTGGCTCGGTCTTGTGATCAGCTGTGTCCAATTACAGCTGATCGCATGTAAATAGGGAAGTGCCGGTCATCAGCATTTCTCTCCTCACGAGCTGTCACGCTGACAGCTCGTGAGGAGAGCCGGTAATTGGCATTCCTCGGAGGGGACATGTACACTGATCATCAGGGCACTGATGATCAGTGTGCCCTGATGATCTGTGTAGCCCCCGCAGTGCCACCTGTCAGTGTCCATCAGTGCCAGCTGTCAGTGCTCATCCTTGCCACCTGCCAGTGCCACATTTCAATGCCTACCAGTGCACATCAATGCCACATATCAGTGCCCATCTGAGCTGCCTTTCAGTGTCACCCATCAGTGCCACCTAACAGTGCCAGTCAGTGCCACCTAACAGTGCCAGTCAGTGCCAAATATGAATGCTGCCTTTCAGTGCCCATCAGTGATGCCTGTCAATGCCCATCAGTGCCACCTATCAGTGCCCATCACTGCAGCCTCATTAGCGCACATCAGTGAAGGAGAGAAATCACTTATTTACAAAATTTTATAACAAAAACTAAGAAAAAACTTTTATTTTTCTAATTTTTTTGTGGTTTTTGGTTTAAGAAAAAAAAAAAAACCAGAGGTGATTAAATACCGCCAAAATAAACTGTCTCAAAAAAATGATAAAATTTTCATATGGGTACAGTGTTGCATGACCGCGCAATTGTCATTCAAAGTGCAACAGCGCTGGAAATTGGCCTGGGCAGGAAGGGGGTATAAGTGCCCTGTAGGCTAGTGGTTAAAGTATAAGTTGCAGGTAAATAAATTTGCATGTATTATTTTTGGCAGCAGGAGCCTGTAAAGCATTGCATCAGTGATCAGCAGATCACTGGTGCCATGCAGGTCTCCTGCAGATTTCTCAGTATATCTGCTTTCCCGTATGGGATGTATGAGCAAGCAGATATACTAACAGGAAGATTCAATCAACTACCACCGCTGTGGAGCGCTGTGGTAGTTTATTGAAAACTGCAAGCCGACAGCCGCTAAGTCTGTCGGACTTGTAGTGCATTCATTCATGGAACTCTGTGAATGACTGTTTTCAAATCTGACAGTACAGGGAATTTCTCCCCTTACTTCTTTTAGAGGGAGCGGGGAGCATCGGGAGGCAGCTGCAGCATTGGGAACATGTTACATGTTCCACCTAAAGACTGGTGGAACATGTAACGTGCTTCCAAAGGTGAACATATTCTTTAAGTTGGCTAACTAGTCAGCCTACGTATTTGGTTGGTGGTGCAGCAGCAGGCCAATATTGTAATATCCAGTAAGCTACGTAGATAAAGTAAGAGACCAAAGGCAGTATGCTTTGGGCTGGTAATAAGTGTCAGAAAACTTGTCTTCTTACTAATTGTTGCAATGACAAATGTTTAAGCATTCTCTTGTTTATTTATTTTGTTTGTTTGTAGGTGGAGAAAAAAAAAGCCAGATCTGCCCATTTCATCCAAAACTCCAAAAATGGACTGGACAAAATTATTGGCACCCTCAATTTAATATTTGGTAGCATACTCCTTGGGAAAAAAAAAATAAAATCAATCACTTCCTGTAATCATCAATGAGTTTCTTACACCTCTCTACTGGAATTTTGGACCACTTTTCTTTTGCCAACTTCTCCAGGCCTCTCAGGTTGGAAGGGTTTCTTTTCCCAACTGCTGTTTTGAGATCTCTCCACAGGTGCTCTATGGGATTGAGAGCTGGACTCATTGCTGGCTAGTTTAGTACTCTCCAGCGCTTTGTCTTAAGCCATTTCTTTGGCGTGTGCTTTGGGTCATTGTCCTGCTGTAAGACCCATGGCCTGTGACGGAGACCCAACTTTCTGACATTGGACCCTACATTGCACCCCAGAATTCTTTGGTAATCTTCAGATTTCATAATGCCATGTACATGGGCAAGACATCCAGTGCCTGAAGCAGCAAAGCAACCTCAAAACATCAGTGAACCTCCACAATGTTTGACTGCAGGGACTGTATTCTTTTCTTTAAAGGCCTCATTACTTATCTGAAAAAAGTAGAATGATGCACTTTACCAAAGGGCTGTTTAGTCTGTCCTCAGCACAATGATTTTGGCTTCTTCAAGTAGGTTTTGGCAAATTCCAATCTGGTTTTTTTAGGCTTGTGTCAGCAGTGGGGTCTCCTACCATAGTGTCCCTTTTCATTCAGATGGCGACGTATTGTTCAAGCTCACACAGTTGTACCCTGTGCCTGAATGTCCGCTTGCATTTATCTGGAAGTTGATCGAGGTTCTTTAGCCACCATTCAAACAATCCTTTGTTTCAATCTTTCATCCATGTCCAGGGAGATTGGCTACAGTGCCATGGGCTGTAAACATCTGGACAATGTTGTTCACAGTGGACACAGGAACATTACCATCTCTGGAGATGGACTTGTAACCTTGAGATTGTTCATGCTTTTCCACAATTTGTGTTCTCAAATCCTCAGACAATTCTGTGCTGCTCTTTGTTTTCATGCTCCTTGTGGCACACAGACACACAACAGAAAGGTTGAGTCAATTTTTCACCATTTTGACACCCCGGTCACATCAAGCCTGACTTTGAAATCATGTGACTTACAGTGAAGTTGCACGATTTCAAAGTCGGGTGAGATGCTGATTTCAAGTGCGATTTGCAAGACATCTGACACAGATGTCTATGCAAATCGCACCAAAAGTAGTACATGTACTACTTTAGAAATCGGTGCGGCTCCGACCAAGTCAGAACTGCACCGATATGACCTCTGTACTTGCGGACAATAGGGTGCGACTTGGCATGCGATTTGCAAGTTGCATGTGATGGGGGGGTGTAAGTGATTGCTGGTGTGATTTCTATATTATCAGCACCTGTTAATTGATAGAGGTGAGTTTAGTTACAAATTACAGGAGCATCACAAGCATGGAATTCTATTATTTCTTACAATTTTGAGAAGGTGCCAATAATTTTGTCCAGTCCATTTTTGGAGTTTTGGGTGCATATTTGGCTTTTTGTTTCTCCACTTTTTTTGTATCGTACCTATACAGACATACGAAATAAACATGAGTGCCTACACATTTGTGTTTGAAACAATTTTCTGGATGACGTGGAGCATTATCTGACAAATGAAGGGATGCCAATATTTTTGGCCATGACTGTATTTGCTGTGCTGGGTCTGTTGATTAGATTGGACCAACAGCTAATAGGGAGGTATGGTCTACCAACAGTGATTTGGAAAGCTGGTCATCGGTGAGAATGTTCAATCTGATACCTGAACTGAATAGTTTTCTAACATGGGACTGCTGGGAGATGGTGACTGATTCCCAGCACTATGTTATCGTTTAGAAGAAAAATCTACAACTAGGAATTTACATTTTGTTACTCATACAATTCTTTTTAAGTACTCTGGGGATTTTAATGGCCATCTCTGCATTCTAAAACTCATTTTCTCTATGCTGCTCACATTTTAGAACATGTTAGAACTATAAAGCCAAGCTATTTTTTTTTCCAAACTATGACATGCTAAATCTGATATATATATATATATATATATATATATATATATATATAATATATATATATATATATATATATATATATATTATATATATATTAATCACTGCTTTTTTTTTTTTTTTTTTTTTTTGAGGGGGGAGAGCTACAGGGCACAGAGATTGGTAAAAATATATAAGATCATTGCAGCATACTATAACACCTGGCAAAAAGTATAGAATCGCCACTCTTGGAAAATGTTCCTTCAGTTATTTCATTTGGTACAAAAAAAAACTAATCACAGACATGCCTTCTTATTACCGGAAACAAATATGGAATCACTCAATTCTGAGGAAAATATTATGGACTCATGAAAAAAAAAAAAACAGTACAGTGCACCACTAGTACTTTGTTGTACCACCTCTGGCTTTTATAACAGCTTGAATTCTCTGAGGCATGGATTTAACTATCGACGAACAGTATTCTTCATCAGTCCGGCTCCAACTTTCTCTTATTGCAGTTGCCAGATCAGCTTTGTATGTTAGAGCCTACATGGAACATTTTCTTTAATTTCCACCATAGATTTTCAATTGGATTGAGGACTATTTGCAGGCCATGCCATTGACATTATATGTTTTTCTTGAAGGAAAATTTTCATGACTTTAGCATAATGGCAAGATGCATTATCCTGAAAAATTATGTCATCATCACCAAACATCCTTTCAATTGATGGAATAAGAAAAGTGTCCAAAATCTCAATACAAACTTGTGCGTTTAATGACCGTCTTCTCTCCTGTACCATTACCTGACATGTAACCCCATTTCATCAATGATTGTGGAAATTTGCATATTTTCTTCAGGCAGTTGTCTTTCTACATTTCATTGGAACAGCACAAAACAAAATTTCCGGGATCATCACCATGCCCAATGCAGATTCTTGATTCATCACTGAATATCACTTTCATCCAGTCATCCATGATTGCTTTTCTTTAGCCCACTGTAACCTTGTTTTTTTTCTGTTTAGGTGTTAATGATGGTTTTCGTTTGGCTTTTCTGTATGCAAATCCCATTTCCTTAAGGCCATGTCTTACAGTTCAGTCACAGACATTGACTCCAGTTTCTGCCCATTTGTTCCTCATTTGTTTTATTCTGCATTTTCTACCAGTATGCTTACCTTTTCCAACCTTCCCATTTGATTTGTACTTGGGCCAGATTTTAGACACCGCTGACTGGGAACAACCAACATCTTTTGCAACATTCCGTGATGATTTACCTTGAAGATGTTTTATAATCCTCTCCTTTGTTTCAACTGACATCTTTCGTGTTGGAGCCATGATTCATGTCAATCAGCTTGGTGCAACAGCTCACCAAGGTGTGCAAGCACTCTTTAACTGCAGACTTATTAGCAGATATAATCTGATGCAGATGTTTGTTTTAGAACTGCAAAGTACATGGTGATTCCATAATATTTTCCTCAGAAATCAGTGTTTCCATATTTTTTTCCTCTGCTTGATCTCTAAAAACTGGCGCAATTGACTTTTTTTTTTTTTTTATTATAAATGTTTCTTAAAGCCAGAAGGTTGGGATGTTAAATGAAACTAGTTTTGAGGCATGTCTGTCATTGTTTTTTTTTTCCCCTACACAAACAATTGAATGAACATTTTCCAAGAGTGTTGGTTCCATACTTTTTGCCAGGTGTTGTAATATTGGAGAAACGGTTTGCACTCTACCCAGAAGCTGTGCATGGGGCACACTTAACTTTTCAAATGACAATGATCCAAAACATAAAACAGAGTTGTCCTTTTAATGGCTGCAGCAGGAAAAAAGTGAAGGTTTTGAGTGGCCATATTCTGACTATAACCTAATTTTGTCCAAACACAAGTTTGGAACAAACTCTGGCTGATCAGACTTTCTTCCAAATGTATAGAGCGTTTGGTGTGGATGAACATGACAACTGCGGACTTTATTAATAATTGCTGAGGAAGCAGCAGCATGCACACGCTGCATCATTACCAACTACTGATGTCACCCAGCCTATTCAATTACATCGCTGGGAATTCTTGTCCATGGAAAGTTTTGGGCCATAATGTCATCACTATCCCCGCCCTCTTCCTTTTTATATAGGCCATGACAGCTTAGGGAGCTGTTATTCAGTTTTGTGTTCTGCAGCTTGTTGAGGTTTTGTTTTGTTTTTTTGTTATTTTGTTAGTCAGCTGTGCTGGGTATTATGATTGATGGATTTACAACAAAGGAGTTTTTTAGCATTTTTATTTTTTTAAATAAAGAACTAGTCAAACTTTTGGGTGTCTGTTTCTAAGTGACGTTTTTAAATTTTTTAATTTTGTGAATGAATAGAGGTAAGTTCCCCATACTCATTCATGTAGGGGGATGGTGGGAGGTTCAGTATCTGGGCCTCCCCTTTATTAAAGAGGACTTCCAGATACGCCTCCTGTCTGCAGACCCCCACAACCACCTGGCAAGAATTGTGGGAATTATGCTCTTGTCATACAGCAAAAAAACACCATGCAAACCCTTCCAAAGTTTCGCCACAATACATAACAAACCCTTAGAGGTCTACCATGTATTATAGGATTCCTTTGGGGTCTGTGTGCCCTTTTTCTTTAAAATAAAAAGCAGCAAGGAGAGACCTGTCATTTTCTAGCAGTCTTTTTTCCCTTAAATGTCAGAGCTAAAATGACAGCTTCTGGGTGCATTTTCTTGCATTGGTATACAGTATGTTCCAAAGGACAGTGCAGACCCCCCCCCCCCCCCCCTCTGCTATTATGTGGAAACCTCCTTGCCTATTAGCCCAGCAGAAAATGGTCATTTTTAATTTGATTCGGCACCCATTGATTTTTAATAGGTCTAAATTTCTTTGAAGTTTGCTGAACCCTGATTAAATGGAACCTAGGGAGATTCGGCTCATCACTGCTCATCTACTTTAGGGAGAGCTCACACATGTATTTCATACTAGAAAACCAAAGAATTTACAGGACCTGAAGTATTTTTTCCAAGACATGGGCAACTTTACTATGTGATAAAGGATTTTCAAAGTATACTAGACTCAGTCAGTGACCAGTCTGTGTAGAATTGCATAGTATTCCTCTGCCTCACTTTTGCTTAGCTTGGACTAAGAACTGCCAACTTCTATTTATCCAACAACTATTTCTGCATAAGACAGACATTAGTAATAAATCCAAAAAAGGTTCCTTATATCATATAGGAAGGGGCAGCTAGAGGGAGGAGGCTTAATCCTTGTAATTGATTGGTTCTTTTACATAGTCCATTTTGTTTTTTAAAATACATGTTGCTTCAAACTTTGGAACTTGGAAAACTAGATCCAAATGATCTAGCTTACAGAAAAACGTACCTATATTTACATTAAACTGGCTGTGCAAAAATAGCTATATCACATTCAATCAGTCATTTGGGTTTAACAAATTTTGTTTTTCAGACCTGTTTAAGCAAGTGGCAAGCTCTACTGGATTTTGTGACCAGCGGAGACTGGGACTCCTCCTCCACGATGCCATCCAGATACCTCGGCAGCTGGGTGAAGTGGCTTCCTTTGGTGGAAGTAACATAGAACCCAGTGTTAGGAGCTGCTTTCAGTATGTAAGTAATTGTTATTCTTTAAGTGAATGTAAGGATACAAATATGGGAGCTGCTGTTGGCAGTTAACCTGATCTTGGCTTCAATACCTTGGGATTCACCAACTTGGAATAAGTAGAATTCAGACCTTTCAGACTTGCGCATGGTCAGTGACTTATTAGATACAAAGGAACAAGATGAGCCTGCACCTTTTAAAAATAAGTCAGCAATGATCGGCCCCATATTTTTTCTTTTTTTTCTCACATGGTTTCTTTCATTTATATAGTAAGTTGATTAGAAAAAGTAAATAGTATTTTTTTATTTCTGAGAATTTCACATCATGGGTCACTAATCTCTTTCTTGGCAAAGCATTCTGCATTTTTTTTTCTTCTTATTTTCTTTACTTTATAGCAAACAAAGCTTGAGAACAGCGGGGTTCCTGCAGACGTAAGCTTCTTAAAGATAACAAGGATTTAAAGATTTGTTTGTGATGAAAAAAGGATATCTATAGAGCAGAGCTGTGTTGATTAAGGGTATATATTCAGTTTTTGTCTAAGTAAGTTTAGTAATTACTTGGGGGAAAAAAAGAAAATAGAAATAGTGCAAAGCATAATAAAAAAAAAAAGGTGCTTGAACACAAGTAATCCTATTAAGGCCTTTTTAAATGATGTAAAGGAATAGGGATTTCATTAATTAAGCACATTGGCCTTTGTTGTTCTGTGGACTCATGGTTTGCCAAAATGGCCCAATCCATCTGATGTCTCCTGCATGCAAGGACCCACATTACCTTATTTTATCTATTTTGAATTTTAGTAAATTTAATGTGCACCTTAAAGAGTGACACCTTTTGAAACAACCATGGGAGAGGCAATATAAATATGAACACTCGGCTGAACAAGTTGTGCTCTGTTGTGGTTGGTTCTTTTAAGTGCCATCTCATGTCTATAGCTAGCCTTATGGTTTGACACTGGAAACATTTTTTTTCTTTAAGGTTCGATTGTAACGGTGCATATTTATAATTTTTAAAGTGACACCAAATGTTATCCTTATTCTCCAAATATAATTAATGAACATCCAGTACTTAATGGCCCTGTATTTTTCTTTAAATTGTTTCTCACTATGTTTTTCTGTCTTGTCATAACATCCTCTGTAACTCTGTAAACTCCCGACCCCCCCCCCCCCCCCACTTCCATTTATTTTGAATGTGCACTGTTCTGTCCACACTATACAGTCCACTTTGGGAGCATGCAAGAGAGGCTGGCTACTTTTCCCCATAGTGGGACCATCGAGATTGAAAGTAGCCATCATCCTAACAGGAAGTCAAGTCATAACAGCAAAAAAAGAAAAAAAGGAGCGCAACGCACACATTCATCAGACCCAGTCACCTTCTTTGATTGCTCCTTGGTCCTGTTCTGGTGCTCATATACCCATTGTGGGAGCTTTTGGCTGTGGACACAGGTCAGCATAGGCACCCTAAATGGCCTGCAGTAACTCAGTCCCATACACAACAAACAATCTGCTTCTGGAACATCATGTGTACTTGCTGCCTAATAAATCCTACCAACTTTCAGATGCCATTGTACCATTCATGTTATCCACCTAAAGTGGTAATAAACCCCAAAGAAAACAATTATATTGCAGCTTATTTCTTAGATGCGATGGTTGCATTCATTTCCTTTTTTGGGCTTTCTTTTTTCTATTTTCATCTGGTGGGTGATCAAGCCAGTAAGTCTCTTTTTTTTTTTTTTTTTTTTTTTTTTTTTTTGCTTTTCAAAAGAACAAGCTTTCCAGAAGAATGCATCAGTTACATAGATGAGAGAAACCATATAAGCTTTTATTTACTGTATTTAAAACCTTTATCCCTATAGAAAATACTGTTTACTTTAACTTTATAAAGTGTGAGCTGTAGTTTGGCTTCAATTTGTTTGTGTATCTAAATCTGCTAATTCATCTAACACTCCCCTCCCACCAGACTGACACTGCTACTGTCGAAGAATAGTAACAGAAGAAACGTTTGGATTTTTTTTTCGTGTTTTTTTTTTTTTTGTGTTTTGTTTTTTTTTTTTAAGCTGGTGGTGTTTAAACTTTACTCTTTTGAAGATCTCTGGGCACTGCTGCCATTTGACACTTGTTGTGTTAGGGTGTCTACCACTGGGTGCTTCTGTTCTCCCTCCATCGCTACTGTGTTCTGTGGCAACAGGATCACTTTAAGGAAGAACTTTACAGATTTTGGGATGGGTGGCATGTTGCCATGATATGCAGTTATGCACAGCGTACTTTGCCTATATCTTCTGCCTATAAACTACTGCCCAGCAATTTTTTATTTTCACTTTTAAGCTAGCAATCTGTCTTTTTGTGTTATGTTGATAAATAATTGCAGAAATCTTAATGTGTGTAGACTGTGGAACAGTTGACTGGGTAAGTTGGAAATTGTTCTTTAGTTCACAAAAGACTGTAAAACTGGCCATCACACACATTACAATCGTTTTTGGCTGGACAATATTTTTATTTATGTACTGTAGCACCATCTCCAAAGAAGCCGCTTGGTAACTTTGGGTTCTCTGTTCTGTGCCTCAACGCCAAGAACAACCTCAGCCCCTCTGACACCTGGTTGACTAGAAATCACTGCAAGCGCAGATAAATACACAAGTGTAAAATACTATTAATCTGACTATGGTTTACTACAAGTAAATACACACACCCATTTAGTGGTAAACACTTTTAAAGCAGCGCTCCACCCAAAGAGGAAGTTCCACTTCACTCGTTCCTGGTAAAGAAATGGGTGCTTTTGGGGAGTAGGTATTCGATTTTGACGGGTATGCGCTCCCAATTTCCCGCCTCCCGGGACATATGTGCATGCGCAGTCGGCACCGAGCTGTGAAGCCACGAAACTGTCACAGCCGGGTGCCCACAGTTAAGATGCCGGCACCTAGGACAAAAAAAAAATGTTGGAAAGAATGGCTGGGGTGAGCACATCGCTGGATTGTAGGACAGGTGAGTGTCTGTTTTATAAAAGTCAGTAGCTACAGTTTTGGTAGAATCTGATTTTATACCCCTAACTCAAATCAGGAGGGTAAGTTAGTAAATCAGCAATAAACAATATTCGTAAATGTTAAATGCAGTATAAATGATAACACTACACTAGTGCACTAGCGTAGTTCTCCCATAAGAGCTGCAGGAATTCTGTCCAGGCTTCCCGCTATCTTCGCCCCACAGCCAAACACACAGGCTCATTCACATGTTTCTCAATGATTAGTCTAGGGGTGGAGTTTTTGTGGTTTTTATTACTGGAGAACTTGGATAGGGTTGATGGAATTAAGTGGGATACTCCAAAAACAAGAACTAAGTACACTTGAGTACTTGGGTATTTTTCAGTGCTAGCTATGTTAAAATCCATGCTTGAAGCAAACATTAGACTTTAGCTTTAAAGTAGTAGCAGTAGTAAAGCTAGAGCAGAGCCCCTTTTTTAGTTGGAGTTTAGATGGACCATGCTCTTCGGGATACCTGTTTGCATCCAGTTTAAATAGACCCCCAGCTGACTCCCTAGCACCAGAGGGGTTTTAGTAGAACAAAGTCTCTAAGATCCTTTCAGACGTGTCTGTACTCCCAAGGCCCAAGGACAGCTGGTTGCCTTCCTCTGTGATACCAGACCGTCAGTAGATGGCCCCTCAGTCAGTTCTTAGCTGATCCTAGGTCTTAGCATTCAGGCCCTCAGGTCGTCCACCTGAGGCCTACCATGGTTCGCTGAAGTCCCAAAGCCTTAGAAATGGCTTTGTAACCCTTTACAGACTGATACTTGTCAATTACTTTGTTTCTCATCTGTTCTTGAATTTTTTTTTTTTTTTTTTTTTTGTTAAAGGTAAAATGTTTTTGTTGCTGGGCAGAATCAAAAAATGGAAAAAACACAATGACATGCATTTCAGTAGCATCTCCATTGAACTCTTTTAAACTCAAAAAGCATGTTTTTGCTACAATAAAGTCCCTGACCCTTTCCAAAAACTCAGCTGCTTAAAAAGGCATAGATGTGAACATGTCCCATAGGACAGCCCATAGGAAAGCACTAGAAAATGCATTGGTTTGAACCACGCCTTAGGGCTTTGGGGTAGCTGGTAGGTAGTTCTAATGGTTCAGTTTCTAACGGTGGTAACAACTAGCAGCTACAAGGCCCTCTCACCAGACCCAGTGACACAGCAACAGTGGTCCCTCCGATTGGGTATCCACTCACTCTGGGTTGCCCATGGTAGCACTGGTAGGCAGCTTTGTCCCTCACTAAATCTGGTCACACTCTGTAGCCTCTGGTTGTCCCTCACATGACGGTGGGCTTACGTTGACTTGGGCTATTTCTCTCTTAAATGGAGCTCCACAACACAGTCCTGTCACATCACTCTCCTGTCACACTCTACCCAAGTAGCATCGACTGAGGAGAAAACCTTTTCCACAACATTTAGTTCTCTCTTCCTCACTGCTGATTGGTCCATTGCTGTTGCTAGAAGAGAGGGTGGAAAAAGTCCACACACACAGTCCTCTTGTGGTGCTCTGCTAACAGGAAGAGGGGAGTTAAACAGACAACCTGCAGCTTACCTCTCCCTTGCACAGTACAGCCGGCTCTGTACACTGTAAACTGGCAGAGAGGGCAGGCAGATGAGCCGGGGGGAGATGTTTGGAGTATCAGCTGCCTGGCTACTGAACCTAAACGTACATCTTGGACTTTAATGTGTCTGGGCAGTTTCAGACATTTGTTTTTATCTCTAAGGGTTTTTTTAAACTAGAGAAATGAGAAGCAAAATAGGTGTTTATACCACCTTCGGGTTGAATAGCTTGTGCACTCATTTCTTGTTTTATGTATTTGTTGTAGAAAGTATGCTTTGTCAGTATACTACTGTATAATTTATCCATACTGGTAACATTAAATATCCTGTCTACATTTGGTATCATTCACTTATTTTCCTATAGAGTGGTTTGTGTATTTGACAACATTGGATTAGTGCAGCAGGTGATCAGCTCTTGTTTTCTACTTTAGTGCA